TTGGAAAAGCGCAGAGAGCAGGCGTCCATCATATTTTTATACAAATTACTGCATGGTAACATCGACTGTCCTGTTTTGCTATCGCAAATTAATTTCCTGGTACCTAGATTGACATCTAAATATAAAGTTTCGTTTTACTGCAAGAGGGCGCAGACAAATCTTCTATCTAAAGCACCAATAAACTTTATGTGCAATAATGCGAATAGGATTGTGAGTTTTTGTGATATCTTCTGTTGTGGATTTCAGGAATTACGAAGTGCTATACGTTCACATCTTTGACTTTTTTTACGCCTTTCTCTAGGGGTTTTCATTTGTTGTATATGTATACATATGTATGTATTTATGTGTATATGTGTATACCTGTATATGTGTATACTCGTATATGTGTGTATGTGTATGTATGTGTATATGGATATTTGTGTATATACCAGTATATTCTGGTTTCCTAATATCTATTGATCATATTTATAGTTTCTTTTTTCTCTACTTAAAGTGCCTTCCTCTTTTCTGTGTGTTTTTTTTATTTTTGTTTCACTTTATGACACACAGACTGTGTAAATTAAACCATTGTATTATGTATTGCTCTCTAAATGGTACCTGTACTGTTGGGCAATAAATGCTTTATTATTATTATTATTATTATTATTAGACCCTCGTATGTTGACCTTGTGTTACCCTGCTGGCTTGAAGAGTTTCGAAAACCTAGTGAATTTTTGTTTCGCTCTAGTTCCTTCCTAATTCATGTCGTGATGCTCGATTCTTCGAAAGGTGTTGGTAACATTGGGGTCATCGACCATACGCGATGTTGTAGATGTAGACGATTGATGATTTTCTTTTATTCACAAACTGAACGAAAACATTATTTCGATTATTTGTATGATGCAGTTTTTTGGTTAGATCCAAGGGCAGGTTTTTGTAAATAATACCTTGGTATAGATACCTAAATTGTGAGTGGTGCGCCACTCCCCCCTTTAGACATATACCACCTCCGCCAGGCCCCGCGCTTCCAAATTTCGATCACCGATCCTAAACCGCCCCTCCCCTCTCTCCGGAGGCGAGCATCTTCTAGAACATCAATCTTGTGCTCGCTAGACAGATTCATTAAATTCACCGATCATTCGATTCGTATAAAGATAAAGATCCTATGCATGGAGATCTCATTACCTGTGGGAGATACAGCTTAGGTTAAATTAGCAAAAAGCTGCGTTCTTTGGGGCGCATTTACATGCCGTTGAGAAACGTAAAAATTTAGTGGCTTACTGAGGTATTTCGGAAAAACAAAAATTTGGCCAAATCGTTTTCATTCTTTTGTGACTTTGTTTTAAGAAATATCAAAAAACTAATTAAACTTCTTCATTGGCACTTTTTAGATACTACGTGATGGTGTTTTTTTTTAGTTTTGTGCCCGACGTTTCTTTTTTGAGAAACCATCATCAACTTCATTTTTTATGTGATCTGATCTCTTTTTTTTCTACGAATTCAACGATCTATCACATATTACATTTTGTTTTCGTAGTTATGGAAAAATATTTTTTTATTTTATTAAAGTAGGCGTTGCAAACAAATGCTTGATGTAAGATTATGTGATTATGCATTTTACGTATTGCATAATGGTATGATGGGGTAAAATTGTATAAAATGATGCTTAATCTAGTGATATTCAGAATAACGAATACATTTTTAACTCAATTTTTATTGCATTCACAGTAGGTGTTCAAATAGGTAGCCATTATTTTTTCAGTGCATTAAAAACATCAAGTAATATTTCTGGTGTAATCATACTAAATGCCTCTCCATTACACATTCTCGTAGCTGCTGCTCAGTTTCGAAAGCGTGCTCAGAATCTTGGTTTTTAATAAAACCCCCAAACATTTTCCTTATAACCAAGAAAGTAAACGAACATTTGATACTTCGTTGAATTCGTATAAAAATGCTATTATATACAGGGTGTCACATGTTTTAGTACCATATAAATAAATGAAGTTAAAGATGGTTTCTCAAAAATGAACCGTCGGGAACAAAATTTAAAATCCACCGTCATGTATTGTCTAAAAAGTGCCAAAGGAAAAGTTTCATCAGTTTTTTTTATAAAATAAAGTCAGAAAAAAATATGATTTGGCCAAATTTTAGTAAGCCATGAGATTTTACAAGTTTCTCAACGGCATGTAAATACGACCCAAAGAACGCAACTTTTGCATATGATCCTTATCTTGGACACCGTGCAGTAGTCATCCATTTTAAAGCTGTTTTTCATAATAAGACACAATAAAATCTTTCAGATGTAATTTCAAGAACAAAAGTACAGACTCGTATTTCCATCAAGTATATTCTACTGATTGAGTATTAGTTTTCAATCTTCCTCTATGTTTATTTGCGATTCAAGATTGGACTCAGAAAAGTAGCGTAATTACATAACTATATCAAAGGAAGTCATTAACGTCAAGTATCAATCAAACGAAACAATTGTCTGTAAAATAAATCCATCGCGCAAAAGAAAAAAAAATATGAAATGTTTCCTTGATAGACTTATAGTCGTGAATGCTCTATGTTACTTGTTTTAAATTCTTTCTACTGACGTGATGCGGTGTATCCGATTTCAATATCATTTTATTTTATGTGCATTCCACTATTTTAGCCGTCTAACGTTATGTGCGTCCTGTTATTAATGATTGCATACATCTATTTTATCAGATAAGTTTTATGGATTTGTGATATAATTGGCGATATCCGTAGTTCAACAAACACACGGTTGCCTTTCGATTACTCCCATCTTCCTGTTCCTGTTCACATCCCATATATATTTAAACATTTCTTCAGTTTTACAATGCTGTTTTTAGCAGTGTTTTCTAACAATCGATGAAAACGCAGTTTGTATGCTGTGACGTGTATCGGGGCTACCACATAGTTCTGCCAAGCATGGTGTGAATGTTTTATAGTGTTCATAACTGTTACTCTTTGAATTCCATCATTTCTGGGCATAAAAAATACATACTTTTTCTATTTGGTTGGTTTTTGGGTTGTTAGGCAGTCGTAAAACTTTTTTAAATTGACGTTTCGACAACATGGCCTAACAACTCAAAAACGAATCAAATAGTATTGGATGATGACCGCGAAAGCCTTTCGCATTTCATACATATTTATTTTTATTAGAAAGTTTTATTTCCACGACATTTATAGTCCCAATTAATTTTTTGTTTTCCCAAAATTATTCAACTGAAACTTTATTGTTCAAATCATGTTTTTTTTGAGTCAATCATTACTTCCTATGCCAGTTGGCGAAGAAGCATTGTTATCTCAGAAGTTTCGAAAATGAGATGTGCGTCACGAAAGGCCTTGTTACTCATCTGATATGATCTATCTGCCTCAGTGCCGACTGTCAGGTAACTCTTAGCCTATCAACAGCTTGTAAAGTACCGCTCGGAGATATGGATGAAAAACAAAAAACCTCGCAGACGCGCTAAAACTTCGTTTCCAAGCTTCTGATGATTTTAGGGCGTAATCAAAAAATATTTTCGATGAGTTAAATTTTTTCCAAAATCCCAAACTTTTTATATCGTAGTTCAAAAATATTCTTTTAGGGGGCACAAAGGTGTTTACTTCCCACGCCTACTGGCGAGGTAATTTTACGCACGGTAAAGTTTTTAATCGACCCGTGACGTGGTCAAACGCAAAACGAAAAATAAAAATGCTCAACTTGTTTTTGGCGTTTCGAGAATTTTGCTCGTTTAAAAAAATTTAGGCGTAAAATATTTTCCTCGAATTCCACGCGCCTTGAGTCATTTCTACATCTGTGTCCTACTGTCCACCAGCCGGCTGCTCTCTTCATAGTATCCTCGATGCTGTCGGTGTCATGTGTGCGCATTGTGCGATCAGAACCTCTTTCCAGTGCCTCATTTGTGTTACTCGGAGTAACTCGGAGCTACCCACCACCTGTCAATACCGTTCCAGTGCTCTAGAGTGTCATGCACCTGAGCTTGTGAAATCCCGTGCCCCCTCATGCACCAGCTTTTTATTCGGTGTTATACGCTCCGAAATAGTGGGGATAACGAAAATGACAATGTGTCAAGATTGTTAGGTTATGTTTTTCATCGATTTCGTTTTTTTGCATTAAACTCACATTAAACCGATAACCAGATAATGGCGAATGTTAAAAAATCCGATAATGTTACGACCCAGAGTCACAACGTACATTTGAGATGTTCCTGAATAATAAAGATCACAAGAGAGTGCAAGCATGCAGGTTCATAGCGGCTTGTAGTTGGCTTCATTTATAACTAGACACTTGAAAATAATTTTGAATGTCTACATTAATATATGAATTCGACACATTTATCCAGAAGCTTTACAATAAAACTGCTGCGTGTTGCGTTATCATTCTAAAAGTATCATCAGGCATCAGTTGGATAGTCTCACAATGCTTCTGAAAATAAAGACAAAATGTATTTACATTTTCATTGTTTGGCGGTGTGATATAAATTGTCAACGTCAAAGCAAAACATCAAAAATCAAGTTAGGTTTTTATCGTCGCGTTCCCGTGCAAATTTGCTAGAGCAGCTCGGGAGTGCCACACTTCGGGTGCATACAGCAATTTAAAAGCACTGGGAAGTGGCACAGGTATTGGGGGGGGCGGCGACGTTGCCAGATTGACGGCACTTCAGGTAGGGCAAGGAAAGAAGTCTATGAACTAACTGAGTAGACCCGTTTGACGGAATAGATCCGTTTTTCTCTCACTAATTGAACATGCTGCTTTCATTCGACCGGTCAAGGACAGCCAACTATGAACATCTAGCAACCATCATCTATCCAGGATATACGGTCTTTGGTACTCTCGTATTTCAATAGGGACTAACTTGTGCTCAACATAATCCTTTTTGAACTGATGTCGGCGCTGCTCTTAGAGTCAACCTACTCGACGCCATTTTTTGAATTTGGAATGGTTTATTTTTTGAGTGTGTTCATCAATAATGCTTCTTAAGGGTATTTGTGTATCATACATTGTCAATTTGAATCTATGGTTGTCAAATTGAATGTATGGAAAAATATAGGTGACATTTCTTTTTCAGACGACACCGACCGCATCTCGCAGCACCTGGTGCAGGCAGCTCGCGAAGGCGGCTCGACCGATAACATCTCGGTGATCGTGGTGCTCCTTCGGGACGCATCACTTATCGCCACCACTGCCTCAAACATTAGCATCCAGGCGGCTGTGACTGTTTCACAACCACAACTATTGGACGCGACGGCCATGGAGACAACCATGGTCGAACAGCAAGGCCTGGTTGACAGCCAGGCCAACGAAGTGCAGATGTTCAACGGGACAGAAAAGCAAAAGGAAGAGCATATGTTCGGATTTGGGGATAACTATGCACAGAATGGTAAGTTTTCTGGACAGCTCAACGCTGATCACTCCTAAGTATCGCATTAACCGTATATATCCAATGTGGAGTATTCGACGAGAATGGAGTGGGATTCCAGGAGTTGGAAGGTCTGCGAGGAAAGTGAAGTCTGGTACACGGTCGGCTAGGCTACTAAAGAAGGGTCTGGCGTCGGAGTCTTTGAGCCTAGAACTAGGCTCCATCTGCATCTCGGCAAATATGCTACTATTTTCGAAAAGGAAATTTATGCGATTATGTGATTCTGACTTGTGTGTCCCGTTTTCTAGAGTCGGATGGGACTAAGAGTCAAGGTACTAAATGCCTGCAAAGTTCACAAAGAACACGCTTCGAAATGGAGAAGCATCTCTCTTAAAGCACGGGAGCTCATTTTAGGACCTGGTACTGAGGACGGACGTTCTTGCATATCTTTGGACAGAGGCAACATAAGGTTGCTGTAGGCACTATTGTATGTGATGAGGGCGGAGGAGAATCCCATGAGTGCACCCAGCGGGGTAGAGGAGGAAGCATCGGCGCATGTTCTGTGTCGCTGTGAGGCTGTGAAGTAGTATATACAGGGTGTTTCAAATTCGATCCTCACCATTAAGATCTCGGAAACCGTAAGAGATACGAAGTCGCTTAAATGGGGGCAAAGTTGCGTATTTAGGTAATCAACAAAATGCCGCTTAGAAACTTTCGAAATTCAACGTGCTTCCGGAGAGAGACGAAGTTTCCCAAAATCGTTTTAATTTTGTCCTGACATTAATTGTAGTGGGATTTCAAAATAAATTGCACAATAACATTGCCACTTTTCCTCCTCTACAAGATGGCATTATTGGAATTCCAATATGACGTTTCGTCTCTTGCTCTCCATCATTAACATTATTTTTTCTTATGGACGTCATATTGGATTTTTGCGTAGATAAACAGGGTTTTTATTTCTGATTTCAAAAATATATAATATGTCATACATTGACATTGCCAAACACTAGTTATTCCATAAAAACAGTAGGCCTTGTAACTATCAGATTTCATTTGTTTCGTTCATTTAGGCTAACTACATTTTCATTATAACAATCGGACATGTTTATGGAGCAACAGGCCTGGTTGAAAGACATCTAATTTCATCTCATTTCAATATACAATATCGAATCACAAAACATGTTTTTTTCTTCCAGGTACTGATATTTCACCAACAAAAGACATGGATTTCTACGAAAAAGAAAAATCCAACGGCAAAAGACAATTTGACGATTCCGATGACGACTTTGGACCAGAAACAGACGTTGACGCCGTAGACGACTCTCAGGCCTCGCCTTTTACCATGGATTTAGCTGCAAAGGGATGTGATAGTAAGATGTTTGAAGGGGGATTCCCACAAGAAGATCATAATAGAATGTTCGTCGGGATTTCCAGCATCCAGAAAATAAAATTTTTGAAGGAGAATACCAGAGTCAAGAGAACAAAATATTCGAAGGGGAATACCAGAGTCAAGACAGGAAACTATTTGAGGAGGGATTCCCACCGCAAGAAAACAAAGTTTTTGAAGAAAGTTTCCAACATCAAGGTAACAGAATGCTTGGAGGGGATGAAACGCAAGATAATAGAATGTTTGGAGGAGGCGATGGCTTGGGAGAATATAATGAAATTTTTGGAGGGAAGGGACATCCAGAAATGTTTGAAGGGGGCGACAAGATTTTGGGGGAGGAAGGGGAAGACAATGACATGATCAAAGGTATGTTACTATACAGAGTGTTGTCGGGAAAGTGCAAACTCAGCACCAAAAATATTGTATATAATTAAATTTTAGCGAAAAATTGTAGCTCACTCATTTATGCAAAAATATTTGTCTTTTTCTTCAAGTCATCTTGACTCTGCTTAAAAAGTGACTCTTGGAGTTTTCCGTTATGTTCATAAAAAAATGCCAGCTCAATTAATTTGTTTTAATAATAATAAACAGGATTATGTACTGATTAACAAAATATTTGCTTCGAAGATATTATGTCTGAATGAAAAATTCCAAGAGGCAGTTTTTAAGAAGAACCAACCTGACTCCAAGATCCTGACGCTATTTTTTTTGCAGAAGTCAGTGGCGTACTGTTTCACTGTTTTCTGTCTTTGTTCACATTTTGTTGATATTCCAGGCGATGAAGGTGTTTGCAATCCATTCATGGAACACATGGAAAAAGCAGAAAAAGAGGACGGAGGCATGAAAGAGAACAAAAATGAAGATGAAGATCAGCAGAAGATGGCCAGGGAAGAAACACCTACACCTCCTGTCGATGCTGGTAAGTCATTTTTATCATCTTGAAATTCTATTATGTTTCAACGTCTGTTAATAATAATAATATTTATTACCCATTAGACTTGTATAAAACATGTATAGGGTTCGTCAGCGAAGAATTTACAGTATGTATATACATAAAAGGAACAAACAATAAAATGACAAGCAACAACAAACAATAGCTTAAATTAGTTATGTAAAAATGGACACTATAGGCAAACAACAGCAGATAAAATAAATTAGCTTTCCAGCAGTTAAAATTAATAAATGAACATAAATTTAATATAAAAATATACAGGGTGTCTGCGAAAGGTTGGGAAATCTTGAAACTGGAGATACTACAGGCCAAAATATTTGAATTAACCTAAACATACCTTAGTCCAAAAGTTGATAGTTTGCCAGATACAGGGTGTGAAAGTTACAATTTTATTTTCTATTTTTCCTTATTGCTTGAGAAATATTTCAGATTTTGGCATAACACTTAGTATAGGGAGGTTTTCTAGTATGAGAAACAAGAATCCGTTATTTTGTATGGCCACACTTCTAGAGAGCGCCACTTACAGCACTATTTCGGTAAATAACTTCTCATAACTTTTTTGTGCTACCCTGTATACAACAACTGACCGAAAAATCTTACTTTCTCGTATTTCCACAACAAAAAAGGTTTACTTGTAAAGCTAATAGTTTCCGAGATATTTGTTTTTAAAAGTTCCAATGCATTGTTTGTACCATGATGAGAAAACGTTTTTATAACATAATAATCAAGTTGCTTTGGGTAATATCTGAGTAGCATTATTCATGAAGCTTAAAGCTATATTATGACAAACATTAGAAACCATAATAACACTAGACAAGTCGTCCCGGCAAGAAGAATGGGCCAATAAAGTGGTTGCCAATAATTCCTGCCCATACGTTAACGGAAAATTGGTGTTTGAAATGGGTTTCGGTTGCAGCATAGGGATTTTCTTCTGTCCACAAATGATTATTGTGGAAATTCTGAATGGCATTTCGAGAAAAATTAGCTTCGTCCGTGGACAGAATCGTTGATTCAAATTGCGGATTTTGTGTATTTTTTCGAAGATACCACTGGCAAAAGGTCACACGCATTGGAAAGTCGATGAGAAGTAATGCCTGTTCTCTTAAAATATGGTAAAGATATAACTCACTAAAATTCTCCAAACAATTTGATGACAAATATTTAAGTGTCTAGCGATCTTCCTCGTACTCGTTTCAGGATGTTCTTCGACTTCGCCCAGCACTGCTTCCTCAATTTCAGGTGTCCTCACACTTAGAGGACTTATAAAAATGTTTTATCATCATGGTACAAATAATGCATTGAAACTTTTAAAAACAAATATCTCGAAAACTATCAGCTTTAGACACTTCTAACAAGTAAACCTTTTTTGTTGTGGAAATACAAGAAAATAAGATTTTTCGGCCAGTTGTTGTATACAGGGTAGCACAAAAAAGTTATGGTAAGTTATTTACCGAAATAGTGCTGTAAGTGGCACCCTCTAGAAGTTTGGCCATATAAAATAGCGGCTTCTTGTTTCTCATACTAGAAAACCTCCCTATACCGAGTTTTATACCAAAATCTGAAATACTTCTCAAGCAATAAGGAAAAATAAAAAATAAAATTGTAACTTTGACACCCTGTATCTCGCAAACTATCAACTTTTGGACTAAGGTATGTTTACGTCAATAATTCACATATTTTGGTCTGTAGTATCTCCAGTTTCGAGATTTCTCAACCTTTCGCAGACACCCTGTATAAAAGTACAAACAATAAGTGGATAACAAACAGTACAAAAAAATAACATCTAAATATCCGCAAAGTCGCTGATGGCGTAGCAACTTTTATTAATAAAGTAGGTTTTCAACTCAGCTTTAAAATTAAGGAGCTAATTGCCTTAATATACTCGGGCAGCTTATTGAATACCTTTGGTCCTAAAACAGGGGGAGATCTACTACCTAGCTTATATCGAGCAAAGGGTAGATTAATGTCGTGCTGCCTAAGTGTATTGAATGTATGTATATTATTATTCAAAGTGAGGCAGGTGAGCAGCTGATCAAGAAGTGACATTTTTGTTTTAAGATCTGTACTGTTAGCAGTAATGAGTCGGGTGAAACCCTGGACCGTATTTAGAAAGTAGGGACGGTTAACATAGTCAAAAACTCTTTATTGTTTTATTCTTACCTGACTTGGAATACAGTACAGATATAATAAACTGTCATATTGCTTGTATCGCTTTTCTTTTGTGTATAGGAACTTTTCTAAACAAAGCCCCAATAAAATTCGGCTCTGTCTATGGACGTGGCATTGACAGATCTGTAACAGTGTATGGCACTTTGTCGCTATGGGGTATTTTGATTGTTACTATACCCTATTCGTCGTACATTTACAACAAAGATGAAGCGCGACAAAGCGGCAGCCGCATAAGCATTGCAGTAGCTATTGGTACTACGAACAAGTGAAAGATTCGACAGGATAGAACTCAGGCTAGGGGTATCGCCAGCACGTCGTTGCTGTTCATATTCGGTGCATACATAGCGAGTGTTTATACGTTAGCATGTGCTTCGGATTCAGCAGAAACGAAGAATATTTCTACCAATGCTTCCTTCAGCCATGCTTCCTCTTCAGTGATGTCTCCTCCCCAAAAACGTGACAAGAAGGGACATTTGAATATTCAGGCAAAAGAAATTGTCCTTAACGTGTATAAGACCGAAATTTTAGAGCATCCTGAAATGGAAATTCATGATACTGAAAGACGTGTAGCGGACTAAAACAGGCTTATGTCCTAAGACAATTTTCTACATTGTTAAAGAATATAAAAAAAATAAAAAAGTGTTACACAAGAGGCTGCATTACACGAAGCTGTTGGATACAGTTGATAACTTTGATCGGAATGCCATCAGACGCAAAGTCCATGAATTTTTTGAAAGGCACTAACTTCTTACCATAGACAAAGTATTACAGGAGGTTAATAGTGATGAAGATTTATCTACTTTAAAAGGACCACATTCTTTAGTTTACTCAAAGAACTTCATTTTGAGTATCGGAAACGGGGCAGAAATAGTATTTTGATGGACAGCCAAGAGATTATTTTATGGAGAAGAAATTATTTAAAATCAATAAAAAAGTACCGCGACCAGGGCAGGAAGATTTATTACTGGGATGGAACCTGGATAAATGCAGGACATACAAAACCTAAAGTATGGGCTGACTCTACAATTGAATCAGAATGGTCTAATAGCTACACTAAACTTAGCTATATCTGGTAGATTTGTAACCAATACCTGTTAGATACTCTGCTTGTATTATTATTAGTTTTCTTGAATATTACATGAAATCATTATTTCCAGGAAAAGGAAAACGATTTGTTAACTGTCACATTGGCACTGAAGATGGCTTTGTGCCCTATGGGCATTTGAGTCGAAGAACACGAGCGATTGCCATGAAGAAATGGACGGGAGTTGATTTGAACGATGATTTGCAGAAACGCTCCCAAAGCTTGACGACAACGCCGTCATTGTACTCGATAATGCTGCATACCACACTAGAAAACTAGAAAAAATGCCCACAATGTTCACACAAGAAATTCAACAATGGCTCCTATCAAAAGACATAACTTTCAATGAAAATATGGTAAAAGCAGAACTTATCCATCTAGTCAGGCAGCACAAATATAAAAGATGTGGGATCTGGTCATTATGATCGATATTCTAATTGAACCTGTAATAATTAATATTAACCATTCGGACGATGTTTCAAGTACTTCCAGCAAATAAAGAATTGTGAAAAGTATGTATATGTATAAAAATAATCATTTATTTTGTTAGATTATTCCAAATACGGACCTGTACAATCTCGCGTTTGGACATGTTTTGTCTAGGCGTAAATGGACTACGAATGGGGTATAGATAACTCAGCTGTTATTTGCTGTCACGTTTCGTGAAAAATACTGATACTGATCGTTTAATATTTCCAGTCGAGTACTGTATTGCAGCATTTAGTGGCATACGGACAAGATTTTACGGATATTTTTTATTTGAAATAGTCATTTGTGTACCAAAAGCGCAAAACGCTGCTTTACTGCTCGAGGTATACGCTTCGTTTTAGACTTGTAATTGCATAAGTGCATTTTCCATGTTGCATTCTATCCTTTCTGGCGTAACTAATCTAATATATCAATACCGACACGTAACTACTTGGAAGAATCCTTCGATAGAACGTAGGAATGCAGGCAGGCGAGTGAATGCGAGCGAGTATGCGAAGTTTTTTTTACCGTTCCATTCTCGGACGCTACGGAAGCACGCAAGATAGACTGATGATGTTACTGTACCTACATCACTTGCACATTTGCAACTAGCTGTTCATATGATGCTAGGGTCAGTCCAATTGAAAGGACTGCTTTTTTGGTAATGGAATAAAAAAAGCTTTATTTATGGACATCAATTGTATCACAAACTATGAACATTTATTTATTAACTGCCCCCTTTCAACATGCCATCATTTTACAAACGCTTTTTTCAAAGAAATTCCTTGAGTTTTGGAAAAAGATGAAAGTCCGATGGCGCTAAGTGGGGGCTGCATGGTGGATGATCCAGTTATTCCCAACGAAACTTATCCAGTTGCGTCTGTGTTCTTTTCGCAACGTGAGGCCGAGCGTTGTCGTGAAGCAGACGCCGGCAGAGAGCAGGCGTGCCTAATTCAACAAACTGGTGGTGAATTTCAGCAGCAGGAACTTTTTTGCCAGATTGCAGGAGATATGTGATGCAACTGGCCATTGCGAGTGGACTGGAAGGCTGATCCTAGATATTAAAACATGGATAGATTTCTACACAGCACTGTTCCTCACAGGGCATGATTTTTTTGACAGCTACCTGAAGTGAGAGCAGTCGAACTGCGTACATTACATCGAAAAGGGAGATAGTCCTAATCATCTAATTGAATGTGGTGGATGGCTTGACTACCAGAGACAGCTAGAATTGATGCTCGTCGAGACGCTCACTGCTGACAGTTTGGCCGGGCAAGGACAAATGGGTTGAGTTTCAAACAATAGTGAAGTGAATGATACTGAGCAAGGTGCATTGAGATAAAAATTGCCAAGCTTCCAAGTACATATTATGTTATGTACGACGCTAAACATGACAAAATGCTGCAAGCATTGCCGTAGTCGGAGGTGTAGCGAACGACTGAAGGGTTTTAATGGGTATGTCGCATATCTGAAGAATCTCTCACTCCCGAAACGGCAATACTGTCGAGCGTTTCTGACTGAGCACGGCTATAAAACCTTTCCCCTGACAAAAAAAAATATTTATTCACTTCTAAACCCCCCGTACATGTGCCCTGAAAACTGACAATGATAGAGGAATATTTTCAACACACGCGTCGCAGCAACCCACGGATCGTGGATATACCTGCAACGAGGTCTGACCGATGTCTGATCGGTAGTAGAGGTGTTGAAATAGTATCTATTCGTTACTCGAGTACTCGTTACTCATAGATACCCGAAGTAACGAGTACCAATCCGAGCACGAAATGATTACTTTGATAGCTCTGTTTTCCGTATCCGTACCCGGCTCGCTTACAATCGTTGATCATTGAATGGCAACGCTGGTTTCACTGTAGCACTGCCGCTCATGCATCGGAGTTGCCAGACATCCCACATTCGGGTGGAAACCTGGAAACTCTAGATTTAAAAACAATTACAAAATTGTATGTTCCCCAATAAAAAAATAACTTTACTCAAATTTGCTCTTATTGTTGTGATCTTGGCAACCTGGAATAAAGAGTCGATTGGATTGGAGCAAAGTTCCGGCAGTATTATGAGGCAGAAAAGCGACAACATGGTACAGCACCGTTCAGGAAAACCTCAATAATAAAAATTATGTCAATTTGACTCATGTTTACTTGTCCCACATTTTGCTAAAAATGTATAATTCAGTATGATCACCAATACATAGAATTTTGAAATGCTTCGAAAAGTTACTTGCCATTCCGAATTTCCTTAAGCCCATATACAGATCATCTTTATGACTAAAAGATATGCTCTCTAAGCATTTCTAGTAAATACAAATTATTTTTAGTTTGTAGGCTAATATGAGTCCTATGACACCCTATCCTATAATAACCCATCTCAATGTGCATAAAGTTTGAAGATACGATGTTTCCATTAAACTCGGAGATTTGAATAAACTATGATTGAAACATTTCGCAAATTCTAAGGTTGTCTATTTTCTTACAAGATTCGGTTCCATTGAACGTGTTCAAATTCGACATTAATTATGTACACGACGCACGTTGCCAAATCGTTATACTCAAACTTACTCATAGTATTAAAAGTAACGAATACAATAAGTGATTACTTTGTAGAAGAGTAACGATTAGTAACGAATTCTCGAAAGTAACGAGAATCAACACCACTAGTGGGTAGGTGGCTGGGCTCGCGTCTGGCGAAGCTAATCGTGGCAATGTTGCAAGATAGTCGGTACTGTCGGTAGAATTGGGGATAAATTTCTAGACCGTAGCGTTTTCAAATGAGTGGGGGCTATGGACTAATTGCACGGGCCTGTTTGACTAACTTGATCCATTTTTTTGTTATGCGTAGCCACATTTTTCCTAGAAGGGCTAACTTGTGCCGAAGATAATCCGCGTTGCATGTAAAGTGCATTTTTAACGTACCTGACGTCATTTGTTTTATTACGAAGTTTATCTATACTTAGTCTCGAAAGTGACGAAATAACCGGGACAGGATTTTTAAGTTTCCCAGTCTTTACTGGAGATCTCGCGACTTTTAGAACAAGCATTTTCCGGTACTATGAGGTCTGTAAATTAAGTGATGAGACGGGCGACGTAGTGGTCAATCTGGCAACAGTGGAGGCGTCTGTCTTGGGTGGGAGACAAGGGAACATGTGATCCGCCTTCAGTACAAATTTGAACTCGTTCGAGTCATTTGATTGTGCGTAGCTATTTTTTTGTCGAACAGTTTTTTCTATTGTTTTCTGAAAATGACCTCAATTTCAAGCAAGGTGTGCTATCAGGTTTTGCTTCAGACTTAGGCACTTTGCAACTGACACTCTTGCTAAACAGGTCTTTGGAGATAGTGTTTTGTCAAGAGCCCAGGTTTTTCGGTAGTTTAAGGCATTTTCAGAAGAAGATGAACCATGAAGCTCTTCAAGAGCCGATAAAAATATCGACAGAATCCAGAATCTGGTGCGTTCAAATTGTCTATTGACTGTCAGAATGATCCTGGAAGAGTTAAATTTGACTCACACTACCGTTCATCAGATCAAGAACAACTGGGTGTTGGAGCAAGTTAATGCCCCTTGCCACACAACAAGGTCGATAAACGAGTTTTAGACTAGTAAAAACATTCCTGTGGCTCCTCAGCCTAATCATTCGCCTGACTTGAGTCCTTGTGACTTTTTTCTTCGCTAAGTTGAAAAATCACCTCAAGGGACTCTTTTTGGGGCAGTCGAAAACATTCGAACGGCTGTAACCGTTCAGCTGGCTATTCCAGTATCCGCGTTCCAACACTGCTGTGAAGAGTAGGAGAGCCGTCTCCAGCGGTGTGTGGCTTCAGAAGGAAGTCATGTTGAGGTTGACAGTATAAGATTGTAATTATATTTGAATAGAAACAAAAAAATCAGTCTCATCACTTCATTTGCAGACCTCGTATTCCCTAGACCATATTGGTTCCATAAAATACTCTCTCCTGTAACAAATGACATTGGACATTGATCAACATCCACCTGCGATTTGAGTAATTCTATTGTATGTGAAGCATAGTAACGATGCGCCCGAAATTCATTTAAAATGGACACGTCCCCAACACTCGCATTTACTGTTTTTCGGCGGACAAAACCTGGAATGAATGGAAAATTAATAGAGTGCATGGATTTAGTCTGCATTAACTCATCCAGTTACTGCTAAATTAAATTTCGGCATATGGCCTTTTGTTTTGATGCAGAATTGTTCGTTAGGCAAACACAGACATTATACATCAGCGAATTTTACAATTCACATGTAAAAACACGAAAACGGCGAGTAACTTGTAAACATTTTTCTATTTTTTTATAATAATCTTTGTGAATGCTACAAGTATATAATTATTGCATTCTAGAAAACATTTTCATGTCGCTCAAATGCTGTTTTTTAAATCAGGTAAATCAGGGCATTTTTGCTGCATCAAAGCATTCATTAACGTGTTCTACCTGAAAATATCCAATCGGCGTCTAAAAAGTGATTTGAATGTTACTGGTGGCATCTTCGAGATAGTGGCAGAACACAACAATCAATTTAGAAATCTAATTTGGAAAAAACTATCGTGTTTGGTTCTGCTACTATTTCATAGAGGGCGCTAGGATCTTCAATTCCGTTTTGCTCTCTGAAATGACTATTTTAATTGGATATTTTTAGGTAGAATACGTGTATCGATGATGCTAACCAATAATCACAAAATTGAAACTTGTGCAACGTTGA